TTGCTTTTTTTTCCCCCACCATTATTTTTCGGACACACTGTGTATATATATATATATATATATATATATATATATATATTGATATATGTACATTAACCTTTTGTTAAACTGAGAAGAACTAACCAACAGACTGATGAGTAATGCTTGCTTACTTACACCACAAAGGCAAACCGGGGGTACACCGATAATGCCGAAATTTTGGGAAGGGTGCGCCCTTCATTAAATCCAAAAATTCATTACCGTTTTCTTAAGAGAGACTGGACGTTATCCTCAGACTCTTAAATCCAATCCATACTCGTAATGAATTGAAAATTTCTTTCTCACTGTTGGAAGGGTGGGAGGGGTAAGCAACTGCCAGCTGCTGTTACTGATTCGTTCTGAGTCGAGCCTTGGAGCGTAAATTTATATCACTTTTAATAATTTAATTATTCTTAAAGGGGTGATGGGGGATGAAAATGAGTTCCATTAGAACCTTCCTTGGAGGGAAACTTCATCTTGTTTTCTGTACTTAAAGTAGACGTGGCAGCATCGAAAGTGATATGAATTCAAACCAAATGATGGTGTTAGTTCTCGCAAGTATCGAATTTCGGGAGCGACATTATTTGAAGCAGTAATATTACGAATATAAATGAAATGATGCGGACTGTCCCTTGACAGTTTCTCCTGTCTCGTTCCTGGAGTCTAATAAAAAAAATATCTATCGCTTAAGAGAGTATTTTTAAGAAGTAATTTGTTAAAAGTTTTGTATAAAACAGTTTTATTCGTAATACCTTGCTGAATCTTCAATCTTAATTCATTTAACGATGCTTTCTCAACTGCACATGCTTCGTAGCAATGGTCGATAGTATGATTTTGTGAAATATGAATTGGGAGTGATGTAAATTAAAGCTGTCGTGGCCCATTGTAACGTGCCATCGCAGCATTTGCTTGAATGGACTGAAACCCCACAGATATTATGTCGTTATAACCCGTCTCTGGCCCAAGAATTGAAGCAGGTTTTTCCTTATTTTACCCAGTCCTTCCAGGAAAATGCTGTAACACCTTAAAATATGCCACGACAATCCTGTTATGAATCATTGTGTACTCATTATTAATGCTGATGTTTCCAGGTCTTTCGATTCTGTATAGCCTCTGCATTAGAAACAACGTCATTAAATGACGAAGCATCAGAAGAAATGTATAGTATTTAGGGTATTTTTTGCTTGAGAAAATTCGTGACAGTTTTGTCACCCCTGCATTTTTAAGGCGCTGGTTGGTTTTCTTTACTCCTGAGATTTTATTATTCTGATAACCCCATTCTTCTTATCTCGAAGTTTGGCAAAGTTATGTATTTATCCGCTGAAGAGTCGGTGGGCGCTCGGGACGTGCTAAGGGTGCCAAGAGTTTGGAAAGGTGATTAATGGCAACTTTTAATTCTTTGACTCAACTGCCTTTATACTCTTTGAAGTCTTCTGCTTGAGAGTTCACGTTTATCCACCTCATATAGTTTGCATTCTCAAGTAGCAGTTGCTTTGTTGTCGTTACGGAACTCTGTTCTTCGAAGTTTGATTCTTTCCTAAAACACTTTTCTTTTATAAATAAAGCTTTTATTCATCATCATCATCATGAACTTTATAGGTTTATGTTCCTACACATCGAAGCATTGTCGTGATTTCTCCATTTTTGTATTTGTTTTCGGGTTTTTTTACTCCCTTCGACGATCAACGTAATGTTAATTGTAGATTTAAGTTCTATTTTTTATATCCTTTCTCCAATTTTTTTGGCATCAAAGCTGAGCTATAAGTTTATCAGGGACTGTGTGATATTTTAGGTTCTCACGGAGACGAGTATAAATTTGACTGTCTTCTGGGTTGTATAAATAATGACGTGGGAGGCATTAAGCAGAAAGCAGTAATGATCGTAAGCCACTTACATCCACTACGCGCCTCTGTCTTCATTTCTGTCTTGCGTGATATTTATGTATGCATTTTGCCTTCTGCTATTTATAATGCTGTTGGTGATGTATTTCCATTAATTCTGGATTTTTATACGGGAAGGAAACAGCATACTGATGTCCTTCAGGATAAATTATTTGGCTGAGAACTGGGTCCATAGCCTTGTCAGACGTTTATTATGCAAACGCCTACATGCGT